TTATTCCTGCTAATATTTTCCCTTTTGTCTTAGGAGAACTTATACACGTCTATGAACAGTTTCTTTTAGTCTCTCGATACAGTTATATGATAAATTTTCTTGAAGTCTAAATTGTTCTTGGCAGTTATCAGGGTATGATGAAGGGCTACAGTGGAATCTTCCGTCTGGGGGAAGCCACCTCTACCTGGGATGCAGATTCCCCGGTATTTATTATTTAATTTATTTTTTGAAGTTATAAATCTTAGATAAAACTGGACCATGTGACTTATTTCACCCCTACGAAAGTCTCATCTAATAATCAGCGAAACAAATTAAGATGGCAAGATGAGAAGTTTCATGATAAAGTCAACATGAATAAAGTCTACATGCACGCTCTAACTTATGTTACACAAACTGGATCTAGTTATTTGTTTGACCCAGGATTATCTTACTTATGTAAGTTTGGATTTTGTAATATCCAGGTTATTCAGCGAGAGCCGTGGGAGCATATCAAGGATGAGGACATAAAGAAAACAGCAGCGTCCTTTTATGGAGAGATATGGCAAGTCCCTCCGATGTTCTCAGCAATCAAAGTATGTTAATTTTAGTTGCAACACTTAAGTTCCTCCAATTATTGATTCTGCCGAATATAAATTTATCCTGTGCATATTTTGATTTTTATAACAATGATTACAACATCTTCTTACCCTGGATGAATAAAATTATTGATACCAGATTTACACTTTCTTAAACAATTTTTTCTTAGTATTTTCAACATGCCTAATTTTGTTAGGAGTCATGAAATTTGGCAATCACATGAAATGAAAACATGTTGAATCAACTCCAGCTATATCTTCAGTCATTGTAATGACCTAGTTGCTGCTGATACTATTTGTATTTAACATAAGCTTAAATCAAAGAGTGTGCTGATTCAGAAAAGATACCTGTTACTTCTGTAGTCTGTAATTGTTTGAGTTGTTATTTTCTCTTTCCTTTAATAAATTCATCCATTTTTTGCCAGCTTCATCAGAATTTCTCTTGGGTGACCACGCATGAATTGGATTTAGTATTGTGTTATTACTTATTAGACTCCGTCTACTTGTGATAGGTTGGTGGTGAAAAGATGTATGAGAAAGCAAGAAGAGGGGAAAGCATCGAACTTTCACCGAGGAGGATTTCAATTTTCGAATTTGACGTGAAGCGGAGTTTAGATGACAGGTTATTTTGTTGAACTCTTCTAGTGCTAATCTTGTGCCACATGGATGTCTCAACTCTTGAAAAATCATCTCTCTGTGTTTATTGTCTGTGCGTACGAGTTAAGCCCTAGCCAAGGTTCTCTCAAAGCGTCTAAACATTCCTAGGGTGCTTCCTAAGTGTCTTACCATCCCTCTATACTGCATTGAATTCTTTAGTGCTAAATGTACACTCAAGTTTTGTTTGAGGGTGAGGTGGAGAACTCATTCTGATTGAAAGCAAGAAATATATTTCTCGCAGAGTGCTTTATTGGAGTTGCACAAACTTCCTCCCGTCCCTCCCGTTTGTGGATTTATTTATTAAGTACTTCAAAAGTTTTATTAGAACCACACAAGGGTAGCATCTTCTTGATTTGCATCCCCTTGATTCTGAAGCATGTCTATATTTCAGATATGCTTTCATGTGAAGCATATCTATATTCCAGCCAATTACTCCTAGAGGAAAATGAGTAATTCTTGAAGTATGTCTATAAATCAGACATGTTTTTTTTCTTTCTTTCAGATATGCTTTCATGTGAAGCAGAATTAGGATATTTGCGACAGATATACTTATAATTTACATGCATTGACATGAGCAAGTATTTTGGTTGCTAATGGTTGTCACTCCACTAAAGCTGGTATTATTTCACCAAAAGTTTCATATTGAAGATACTTCTTTTTTGTCTCCTTTTCTATTTTTTCCCTTTTTTGAATTGGCAGACAGAATGTCATTTTCCGAGTTAGATGCTCAAAAGGTACCTATGTCCGATCACTATGTGCAGACTTCGGGAAAGCTCTTGGCAGGTACTATATAAAGATAATGTTCGTTTTAATACTAAAAAAGGTTCTACATTTTGTGATAGATGATGAGAAATGACAAAATGTTTTAGTGATGCTTAATTTCTTTTTAATTCTTAATGTTCTTCTAAGTGGATTCAAACCCAAGCTGAAATTTTTACTTGCAGTTGCGCTCACTTGACAGCTCTAAGACGAGATTCAATTGGTAAGAGACAGTTATTTTAAGTTCAGTTTTTATTGTTAGTTACTGAAAGTCTAGGGTTGTCTTGTTTTGTACCTGAAAATAGTTGTGACAAAGGGTTCCCTTTATCTAGAACATCAAGAGATAAGAGAGGTCTTCGTTGAATTTTTGATTGCTGTGAGCAGCTTGTGGTCAGGGTTTGTGACAATGCTATTGTAGTATTAGAGAGTGTTGCCTGAATCTTGCACCTAATAACACGGCAGAGAACACCTTATATGCCTTTTATCTGAAGCTAGGTCTTGAATTCCACAAGCCGAACCCAATCCTTATTCGTGCAAGTAGTTGTCCAGTACTTAACTAATTGTGGTCTCTTTACCTCACAGGAGAGTACTCAGCAGATGATGCTTGGGAATTTCAAGAGTTGGAAGACGCAATCACCAAAGGATATTTGTAAGATTCTTGGAAATTCCAGTGGGCAGAGTTACCCAATACATGTGCTATGTGCTGGTGGAAGACTAAAAGGTAGTAGGTACCGGTGGAATAGTTGAGGTGCGGGCAAGCAGCCCGGATACCATCATTGTAAAGAAAAAAATATTCTTGGAGATTCCACATTTGTTGGTGGCAATTGGAGATCTATACTAGTTACCTTAACCTCAACAAAGGATTTCACTTTCTCCTCCACTTTACCTCTTTCTTTGCTTTTTCCTACTTCCCTTAGTTTCTGGGCAGAAGTGTTCAAGTTATATCCTCTATAAGTTGAAGATAAGGATGAACGTAAGAGCTCTTTGTATTTCAACCATTTCTGGTATTAATTGCACTTATTTTTTTGTAACAACCTTTAGTATGGCACCTTTCAAGTGTAAGTGCTACAAAAAATCGATATTTTCATTTGTTATCGTATCACTCCTGAAACGGGATCATTCTTTATGGCATTACAAATGAAATAGGTCTATTGCATTATGGAGTTTGCTATTTTATCCTATGTGGTCGATGCACGTAGCATTTTCACTGGCATTTTCAGCACCAAGATAAATGAAGCTGGGAGGAAGGCAGTCCCTGTGGATAACGTAACATTTGCAACAAGATAAATTAACAAAAACTTCAGTATGTTACTAGCATTTCAAATATTAAAGTTCACTACTCTCAATTATTGACGACCAAATTTCAACTTGTAAATAATGACACTTTTAGTATGACCATGTACTGATGATATCCTCAACATTATCTTCAAGACGTTAACATGACCATATGAAATAAGTACCTATACAGGAGTTAAGACTTTGAACTCAAACAAGCATAAAACACAAGTTATCAGGAGGCTGACACAAAAATGAATTATATTACTAATAACAAAAAACAAGGAGAATACAGAAATTTCTTTCTACCCGCTTGGAACTGTAAACCATCATTAGATACTTGCACACAAAAACAACGTTTGACGTCCTACAAACATTCTAAATCGTGTGAGTGTCCCACCTAAGTAGTTGTAGAATTAGGGGGATCAATTCCCATTGCCTTGTAATAGGCCATCTCTGCAGTAGCCATTCTATCCTGAAACATTGTCCATTCTCTTCTACACCTTTCTCTTACCTGAACCAAAATAGAAGTTGGACTTAGACATATAATCAGAGATCAACATACTCCATTGTAACAAGATTACACAAACACATGCAGAATCATGCATGATTAGGAAGTATGGGTATGAACACAAGATTTCGAACATGGTTTGACATATTCATATGCAAATTCAAAAGGTGATCAAATTGTTATTAGTTTTTTTTTATTCATATTTTTCTTAATCATCAGTTTTTCATGATCAAATTTCAGTATACAGGAGAATGAAATACAGCACATACCCCTTCCCATGGTGCCTTGCCATTCTCTGATTTACCCTGTCGAAATAAGAATATAAGATAATCATTACAGCCAACTTTCATGCTAGTCTAATATACTCCAACAAGATAAAGTTGGATATACCTGGCTCCCAAGTGATGGAACAGTTTGATGCACAACCCACTGAGCATCTACAACTCCTATCTTTTCATGTGCCGGCTGCTCATCCAAAAGCATTATTAGGAAAAAGACCATTTGAAACAGAAAATATGGGAATTTGTCCCACACATCTTAAAGTATACTACTAACCTCCACACATCTCCTAAGAGCAAAATCAAGACCCCACCCATGGACCAAGTCATTCTGCAATAAAGAATCAAGAAACCAAATGGGTAGCAATCCTCCTCCCCCCTTCGCCCCCATATTCTTTTTCGCTGGCTGCAATAAATGGAAGATATTTAATAATTGATACCTGGATCATATGCCAAACACACCGCCAGGCCTCTCGAGAGAAAACAGGTGCCATGATCTCAATAAATCTGATTGCCAACGAAATAACAGTTAATATTGACACCAAACACAAAGTGACATCAGTAGTTATTGGTAAATATCATGCATTCCATACGCTGCACAAGGTGGCAAATGTGGATCAGCGCACCAGCCTGGTCTTTCTTCTGTTTCCCTGTAAGCAGAAGCAATAAACTGTATATGAGATCAAGCTATGTGTGCATGGGATGCTTTAATCAGAGCAGTTGTAGGTATAATGCAAGTAATATGTTCCCTACTTGTGAATTTCAGTGTCATTTCGCCCTTTTGTCATTTGCCACGTCAACCCACTGTTTGGTGCTAAACCAGGCTGGGAAATATCCAAACCATGTTTCGCCACCAACTTTATATATCTGCAGTTGCATTGAAGCCTTAAGAATCCACATACAATTCAACATATTGATACAAACGACTCTGAGATAATCATAACTTACTCCTCCGCATTAAAATTCTCAAGCCCCAAGTCTTCATCCCAGATGAATATATAGTCATAAGGTGCTACAATGTCAGGATGCAGAAAACGTTTTGCATACCACCTTTCAACAAAATGAATAAACTTTATACTTACCACAAATCCATCAAAAATGTTGAATAATTGAGGATAAAAAAGAATTCACAATAATAGTTACCATTTAGTTTGTTTCGGTGTACTGACATGGATAGCCCGCTTTGACCACTCAAGGTCATCCCATTCACTTGTTTGACCATCATAGTGAAACAGCATAATCGTAAAGTTCTCTGAAAACTGTTTACAGTACAGAAAAATAAGCATGCCGAGATACATAAGTAAAATTTTGGACTTAAATCTACCTAAGTTGGCAGCAAACCAACCCTTTTTGTTAACCTAGGTTTTCTTTCTATCTTTTCGCTCATCTCTGGTAACCCTAATTCGTAATGAGATTAAAAGTGGGATTGACGATAAGATTGATTCTTTGTCGGGAAAAAAGTAATTATTCACTGATGTGTTAAATGATTTGCAGAGCTTCACCAATAAACNCGAAATAACAGTTAATATTGACACCAAACACAAAGTGACATCAGTAGTTATTGGTAAATATCATGCATTCCATACGCTGCACAAGGTGGCAAATGTGGATCAGCGCACCAGCCTGGTCTTTCTTCTGTTTCCCTGTAAGCAGAAGCAATAAACTGTATATGAGATCAAGCTATGTGTGCATGGGATGCTTTAATCAGAGCAGTTGTAGGTATAATGCAAGTAATATGTTCCCTACTTGTGAATTTCAGTGTCATTTCGCCCTTTTGTCATTTGCCACGTCAACCCACTGTTTGGTGCTAAACCAGGCTGGGAAATATCCAAACCATGTTTCGCCACCAACTTTATATATCTGCAGTTGCATTGAAGCCTTAAGAATCCACATACAATTCAACATATTGATACAAACGACTCTGAGAATAATCATAACTTACTCCTCCGCATTAAAATTCTCAAGCCCCAAGTCTTCATCCCAGATGAATATATAGTCATAAGGTGCTACAATGTCAGGATGCAGAAAACGTTTTGCATACCACCTTTCAACAAAATGAATAAACTTTATACTTACCACAAATCCATCAAAAATGTTGAATAATTGAGGATAAAAAAGAATTCACAATAATAGTTACCATTTAGTTTGTTTCGGTGTACTGACATGGATAGCCCGCTTTGACCACTCAAGGTCATCCCATTCACTTGTTTGACCATCATAGTGAAACAGCATAATCGTAAAGTTCTCTGAAAACTGTTTACAGTACAGAAAAATAAGCATGCCGAGATACACAAGTAAAATTTTGGACTTAAATCTACCTAAGTTGGCAGCAAACCAACCCTTTTTGTTAACCTAGGTTTTCTTTCTATCTTTTCGCTCATCTCTGGTAACCCTAATTCGTAATGAGATTAAAAGTGGGATTGACGATAAGATTGATTCTTTGTCGGGAAAAAAGTAATTATTCACTGATGTGTTAAATGATTTGCAGAGCTTCACCAATAAACTAGCATGCATGCAACACAGACTAAGGAAAACATTATACATAAGAACAGCGAGGATAGCACATAAAACAAGACAAGACTATGCCGGAAAAAAGAAAGAGGGGGGGGAGGGGGTTGGGGAAGCAAAACAATAAACCCAAAAACAAAAAATGAAGCAAAAACATGACATGAAAACTCTTTTGAGATGGGAGGTGGGGCTAGTGGAATTAGCAAAGGAAGGTAAAATTGCCCTTATCAGAAGTCCAATCCCGGTCCCTCAAACACAGTCTCATCTGAATGAGATGAGTGAAGGACTGAATTTTATGGTGCAAAAGTTACAAGCATATACTCCCTCTGTTTATAAAAGAATGAACCTATTACTATTTGGGGAGCCAAACGAGGTTTTCTTTGACCATGTTTTTTGCAAATAGTTTTTAAATATTTTGAATTGTTAACTACTGTGACTTGTAGTACCTTTTATGTAGTTTCTAAATATGTAAATTTATTTCAATAAGCTTAAAGAATCTATGTCCGAATTCACACCGAGAATTAGTCAATTAGACCCTCGTAATCCGAAAAGGTTCAAACAACTTGAAAGGGAGAGAGTATTAGTCACGCTTCTGATCCCTTATCCATGAATAAAAGAACCCCTGAAAATGACAGAGCAGGGCTCACAATAGCAAGTACAAGGAAAAAAAGCTAGAGAGGCTTGGGCACAACCTTTTTCACTGCTGCATCAATGTTACTCTTCTGCTTGAGGCCGACTGTGAAGGTCACAAGGTACCTTGGTTTGATGATCAAGTCCTGCATATCAACAATGAAGCTGATTATCATAGAGAGATATAGTAATCGTTATGTTTTCTCATCCCAAAGAAAAAGGGAAGGAAAATAGAGAGAGAGAGACATGGACATCGTTAATGGCATCCTAAAATCATATTTAGCTGCCCTTGAAACAGTTCTTATCAGTCATCATAGCGGGATAGCATAAATTTCAGTGTCCAACACTATATGGCAATCTATAGCAAAATGTTTGTTTGAGCACCAGAAACCAGAAGGATGCAAGTATGTCTTTAGCCCACTTCAGCAGTTCCTTCAATATTTTTGTTCGACTGAGCAACTACTGGAGAATCAACTAATATCCAGAAATCAACTTCAAAAAATGGTTAATTCCATGAAAGGGATTATGGAACAAAGAGGGTATCAGCAATGTGTTAATACATGGATTAAATTATTTGTATATCAAGTCTCAAATCATGCCATCAATTTGCATAACGTGAACTGGTAGCTGTTACCAAATATAAGAAAAAATCAACCGAGTGCATCAAATTAGAATCACCGCTGAATTGACAAACCTCACTGGGCAGACCCCATAACCTCCGAGTATAAAGATCAGACTCAGATGCTACGATACCGGGTGGTAACCTCTTGGCACCTCTGGGATTTGACGGAACCCAAATCTGCTAGATTGCCACAAATAGCATAAATATCGAACAGCAGTTGTCTATAAACTTCCAAAATTAGATGTGCAATCGTATATGAGTGACAAGTAAAATACCTTTGGGTCATTATTCTTGTGTGAACTGCCACCGCGTCCTTTTAGGGAATTCAAGACATTTAATAAAGCTTGAGTTGAGAGGCCTGAGTACTTGTCCTCTATAGTTAGATCAATTGATTGGAAAAGATTAGTAGGTAAGGGCAGCTGCAAAATTGAAATCCACAAGCACATTACCTTATCAGCTCTTATTCAACTGATACCTTAAAAGAAAAATGGCACATTAAATACGATTATATCAAATTCATTATCAAAAGTAGATCCCCTTGCCTTGGTCAATGAAATTGTAGGAAAGGTTACACCAAGGAAAAACCCAAATACAACTCCAATAAAAGTAGTCACAAAAAGCCTCATCGTTTCATTCCGTCTTCTTGAGATTGGGCTGTAGATATTCAACAGTAAGCTAAGCTCATTACCACTTTTAACAATAAATAAATGGATCAACCAATCAAAATCAATCACGCCTCAATCCCAAACTACAAGGATGCCTATATGAATAAAGACCCTTAAAATACTTCAAATATTAAAACCTTCGCTTCATAGGCGTCCCCATCTTAAGTCACAATCCTTTAGCAGTAGTTTCACAACCAGAAAGAAGAATCTGCAATGAGTTTACTAACATCTGCTTAGCCCAAATGTGAGTTCAAATATTTCAAGCGCTCCACATTAGAAATTCACTATTTTTATGGCAATTTGGCCAACAACCTACAACCAGAAAGTAAAAAAGATCAGTACTTTGCAATTACTAACACTTTACTGGAGTAAAGTTCCCATTTTCCCCTTCATTCTATTACACATGTTCACGAAGATTTATTGTACTTTGCAATTACTAAAACTTGAGTAAAGTTCCCAATTTTCCTTTCATTCTATTCCAAATGTTAATAAATCTTTATTAATTAGTTCACTTGGTCTATAGTAGTAAGTTCAAATTCAAATCTTCCATAGTTCCTAAAAGAGAAATAATTTCAAAAATTGCTTTAAAATGCTCTAAAACATAGATAATATTCAAATATTATCCTAAAAAGACGCAGAATTTACTTAAATATGCTCTAAAAACATATCTGAAGACAAAAAAAAGGTTTAAATTCTGAATCGAACCTGAAGTTGCTGATCTGGAGGATTACGAAAGTGACCCAAAGCGAAAGAGTGCAAAATTTATAAACTTTAACGCAATTCCCGTTTAATGTTTCATCGAAATCCTTACGATGTTTAATATAGGAAAAAATCCAACCTTGGAATTGTCAAAGAGAGCATATATACTCTCTGTCCTGATGTCTTTGGAAGTAAACAAAAACCAAAGAAAAAAATAGTCTCTTCTACCTGGGACCAGTCCTCTTTCCTTTTGAGTAATTTTTTAGTTTTTGTTTTTCTTTCAACGCTTTTTGAATGACAGACACATTTTCTACTTTATTAAAATCAAAATTTTACACTTTTTAGTCATTTTGTAAGGAAGTTAAATAAGCATTATTTGTTTTGAAATGAATTTGTGCAGAAATTATAATATTAAAAATTTAGAAAATGAGATAGTGCCCCATCATCTATAGGAGTGCACAAATTTTAGAGCCAGCGGCGGAGCCATATATATATTAAGGAGTTGTCAACCAATTAATTTTAATATGTTGCTAGGTAATTTTTTTCCTTGAATGTATATATACTATATATTAATACCCTTTGACTTCTTTGTAAGTTTATTTGTTTATATTTTAACTTTTTAATGTAAATTCTGGCTTTATCACTATTTAGAACCCAAGGTTTAATTGTTTCGTGGGTTACCATTAGGTACGGAATAATTCTTGATTACCAAGATTTAGGCAAATGTGAACAAATTGAAACATAAGAAGTATCAACATTTAAATTAATTGATGACTAACTATTGTTACAACTTAGAGAACATGGAATTTTGCTTTTCCCGGTTGGCTTTTTAGTTGAACGTGACTACAGATTTGGAAAGCTTCGTTTACGCCAAAGGCAAAATTAGCAACGGAGCCACGTATTAGTCATTCATAATTGTTCTCCAATAAACTTTAATTAATATCCATCTCCAATGAACTTTAACTATTTGAAATTGTTGCAACCACACCTTGTTGTATGCATGAAACAAGAAATCAAGATTAGTGCAAAGCACCAAAATTAGAGAATCAAATATGGTAGTAATTGCTATGCTTTAACTCGCATAAGTCCTTAATTCACATACATCATTGGTGCCTTAGTGGCTTTTATTTTGAATGAAGTGATGCTTTGATTTAAATTAAGGGTATGCACTGATTTTTAAGGGTGTGTGGTCTCGATAGAATAACACAATAAAGAAAGAGTTTAACTTTTATAACTAAATAGGTTCTACAAAATGTTAAATATTTCAAAAAGAAAATCAGTTTGTCAAAACAACTTAAGACTAATTCCTCTCACGATGCAAACTTGAGCGTGGACAACTGAAATGGGAGCCAACATCAATAATAATAAATTAGGATGGATCTGACGTCAATACCATGATAATGGACTTTGGATTTAACTCAACCACAGCTAGCTCATGAGGTGAGGATTATCAAGACCATATACGGAACCCAACAACTACACATCCCAGTGATGTGGGACTCAACAGTTTGATGAAGTTGGACGGAAATTTGATGCAAGAACTCGAAAGGACTGAAAATTTCTAGAATGGGAGTATAATTTAGTGTCATATCTTTCGTACTAATTTCTTTATGATGTTGACATAAACTAAAGAAGTTAAAGAGCGTCGAGACAAATTGTTCAAAATCAGACGGCAGCAACGTCAGAAAATACATTAGGAAGAAACAAATGGAGAGCAACAGATAAAACAAAGAAAATAATGTGATTAATGTCCTATACTTGTTTGTTTTCCTACAAAGAGCACAAGGTTATCCCGTGGACTGGCACAAAACAGAAATATATTACTAAGAAAAAATTAGCAGAATGCATAAACTCTTTCTCCCCTCTTGGAACTGTAAACTAGATAACTTTAGGCTAATTAACAAAGAGCTTAATTTCTATGCTCTAACAATGTGAAATATATTTACACAAGCAGGTCGTTTACAAGGTAAATTACAAGTAAAAGCATTTATTGGTAAGCTAATAAAAATGGTAACTACTAACAGAAATGGTAAGTAACTACTAACAGTGTAAAACATCTTTAAAACTGTTAGTGCCTATAACTAAAATCCATAAAGAAGTGTCTGGCATCCTAATCATGTGATTTACCACCTAATGAGATATAGAATTAAGGGGATCAATTCCCTTTTGCCTTGTAATAATCTTTCTCTGCAGCAGCCATACGCTCTTTGAACATTGCCCATTCTCTTTTACACCTTTCTCTTACCTAAGCCAAAATAAAATGGACTTAGACAATATAACCAAATAGCAGCATATTTCTTTGTAACAAAATCGCGCAAACACTTTGTCAGCTAAAGCAACAGATAAAAACTTCATAGAGAAGCCATCTCCAAATCATGCATCAACAGGAAGTACAGGTTTTAAATTCAGACAGAACAATTAATAGTGTGTGATACAATGAAAAGAACAAGCATAATTTCATCCATGAACCCAAAGATTTGAACTCAGTCTAAAAGTTCATATGCAAATTCAAAATGTGATAATGATGTTGTTTATTGCTTATTCTTATTTTCTTTAACCGTCTGCCTCTCTTGGTAAAATTTCAATCTAGTGGAGAATTAGAAATTGCAACATACCCCTTCCCAAGGTGCTTTGCCCTGCTCTGCTTGTCCCTGTAGAAAAAGATAATCATTACAGCCAACTTTAAATTTAATCCAACATACATCGAGGCTGAAACAGGGATATACCTGGTTCCCAAGTGAAGGAACAGTCTGATGCACAATCCACTGAGAATCTACAACTCCTATCTTTTCATGTGCTGGCTGCTCATCCAAAAGCATTATTAAAATAAGGCCCGTCGAATAAGAATATAGGAGAATTTTACTGCACTGCATAAGGTGGACTACTTACTTCCACACATTCCCTGAGAGCTAAATCAAGACCCCATCCATGGACCAAGTCATTCTGCAATAACAATTAAACATTTCATAGTTGCATTTACAAAATGGTTCATTTCCTCCTTCCCGGCCTCNAAATCGCAAAAAGCATCACACATATTTTATACCTGGATCATATACCAAACACACCGCCATGCCTCTCGAGAGAAAACAGGTGCCATGATCTCAACGAATCTGATTGCAGAAAAAGTAAAACTACTGATACCAACCATCAAGTGAGAAAGGTATTTAGTAGAAAATATCATGCTTTAACATACGCTGCACATGGTGGCAAATGCGGATCAGTGCACCAGCCAGGTCTTTCCTCCGTTTCCCTGCAAGCACAAACAATAGACTGTATATGAGATCAAGCCATATGTGTATGGAATGTTTTAATCTGTGCAGTTATACATAGTAATGCAGGAATCCCTACTTGTGGACTTCAGTGTCATTACGTCTTTTTGCCATCCGCCATGCCAACTCAATGTTTGATGCTACACCAGGCTGCGAAATATCCAAACCATGTTTCTGCACCAACTTTATATATCTGCACTTGCATTAAAACATTATAGTCAATGAAATTCAACATTTTTTATTCACAAGAATGTGAGAAAAATCATTCTTACTCCTCCGCATCAAAATTCTCAAGCCCCAAGTCTTCATCCCAGATGAATATATAGTCATACGGTGCTACAATGTCTGGATGCAGAAAGCGTTTTGCGTACCACCTTTCAATCCAACAAATAAACTTCTCTCTTACAAAGTCCATCAAAATGTATTGAAACATTGAGGGTCAGAGGAATTCACAAAAAGAAGTTACCATTTAGTTTGTTTTCGTGTACTAACATGGATAGCCCGCTTGGACCACTCAAGATCATCCCATTCACTTGTTCGACCATCATAGTGAAACAAAATAAAGGTAAAATTCTCTGAAAACTGTTAAAAATGGAACTGTAAGAATGCACAGCCACAAAAGATGAAGGTAGTTTGTTCTGTGGACAAGATGATGGGAAATTATAATCCCACTCAGTAATAAGCTGGGAATATTGCCGGAAGTCTTTCTTAGTTAGTGGCACATACAGGATATAATCTAGAGAAGCAAGAAATCCTTGTATCAATCCAAATAGTTAATTCTTAGTTTAGCATTAAAAACAAATATTTATTGCTTTTATTCATTTTACTGAATAAAATATTGAGTAGAAAATAACCAAACAATTAACCCAAAAACAAATATTAAAAATAAAGGATAATCTTTACATTTCCGTTTGTCAAATGATCAAAATTTCTGGCAAGTTTTTGCTTGTCTCAACTTGTTATTTTTTGGTTCCAAATGAGAAATATGAGTATTCGAATCATTTTTGGATCTCAAATGTAACATTCTAAAGAATTTGGCAACCTAAACATGATTGCATTTGCAGGCAAAAGCTATGTTAAAATAAGTCGCAAACAAACCTCAGGTTAGGCCTTATCTAGTCCCTTATTCACAAATAAATGATCCCCCCAAAGGACAAGTCCAGGGATCAAAGGAGTGAGTAGAAGGGAAGAGAGCAAAAGAAGGGTTGAGCCTAACCTTTTTGACTGCCACATCGATGTTATTTTTCTGCTCGTAGCCAACTGCAAAGGAGACAAGATACCCAGGTTTGATAATCAAGTCCTGCAGATCAATTGATGAGACAGATTACAATACTGAGGGCTTTAACTTATAATGGCATTCTAAAAATCATGTTTCAGCTGGGTATTCAATGATTCTCATCTGTCATCATAGGGCTACAACAACAACGACCCAGTGTATTCCCACAAGTGGGGTATGGTCTGTCATCATAGGGGATTATATAAATTTCAATGTCGAAAACTATATTAACAGCTATGGCATAATGTTTCTTCAAGCCCTACAGAACCAGGAGGAGGCAAGAATGTCATTAGCACACTTCAGCAAGTTCATTATTTCCAATCAAGAATTCTTGGTTTCCTGTCCATCTAAAAAAACTTGAAGCAAACAGCTTTTTCTTATGATAGATTTCATCTGGTTATAAAAGGTTGTTACTAGGGCAATTGTTAGTTTAATAAGAACCCCTTCCGTCCAATTTCTTTGACTTATATAAACTATTAGAGACTCAACCAATATCCCTGAAACCAACTTCAGGATATGCTAGTTCTGTGTCATTAATAACTGAAAGAAGCCTTTTTTGTAATGTGTTAACACATGGATCATTTTCTTTGCATTCTAAACCTCACACTATGCCTTTGATTTGCATAATTGAACGGGTAGCAGTTGCCATCTGCCGAACAAAACGAAGAGTCAATTGACTACTTTAGATAGGCATCAAGGCCAAAAAATACAGACCTCACGGGGTAGGCCCCACAACCTTCGAGGATAAAGATCAGACTCAGATGCAGTGATACCCGGTGGTAGCCTCTCAGCACCTCGAGGATTTGATGGAACCCAAATCTGCAAGATTGCCGCAAATAGCATAAGTCTTGAAAGGCGGTATAAATTTCCAAGAGACAAAGTGCAATCTTATCTCTATATAACTAAAATTGACTATCAATATCTGAATGTAATAATGAAACGAGAATAAGAAACTCTGTTGCACCAAAGTGTCAAGAGTAGCTGCTTGTAGCGCATGTAAGTAACAAATGTTATACCTTTGTGTCATTATGCTTGTGTGAATTGCCTCTGTGGCTCCTCAGGGAAGACCAGGCATTTAATAGATCTTGGGTTGAGAGGCCTGAATGCTTGCCCTCAATGAAAGAGAGATCAATTAATCCGAAAAGATTAGAAGGTAAGTTCAACTGCAAAATTGAAATATACAAGCAGATTACTTATCAGTTCTTACTCAAGGGACACTTAAGAGAAAAATGGGGCAGACTTGGCTAACAAGCAGTGATACTATCTTATTTTAATGTATACATACACAGATATGCACATGTGCGCACACACACACATATCGAAATATATTGAAAAGTAAAATTAGCTCCCATGCCTTGGTAAATGAAAGTGTAGGAAATGACACGCCTAAGAAAATGCCAAGCACAACTCCAGCGAAGGTTGTTACAAGAAGCCTCATCATTTCATTTCGCCGTCTGGTGTTTGAACTGCCACAGAGAGTGTAAGTTAAAAGCTTTATACCACCTTTAAAGCTGAATATTCTCCCAGGAAAAAGGCAAGCTGGTGAGAGGTAGCAGATGCTCGAGGTGCGTGCAAGGCGGCCCAAATAACACGATTATAAAAAATTAAAAAAAGTCAATAAAGGACCCATAAATAAATCACTTTAAAATAAAAAATAAAAACCTGTGCGTAGGTGTCCCCATTCTGTTCATGATCCTCGAGGAGCAGTTTCAAAAAAACAAAAGGAGAGTTTAAATCCCCATCCACGTATCCACATTTACAATTTTTAGTAGAAGAGAATGAAGAAGCATTGGTCTTGGACATACCACGGGAACATTCACATGACCTTTCTTCTTCATTTTATTATTCTAACCTTGATCATGTGGATTTTATTTTTGGGAATTTACAGAAATATGCAGGGATTGATCTTGTGAATGAATGCAGAAACAAGTTGAGTATAATCCTACAAAAATAATCCACCGCTCAAAATGAGACCAAGAAAGAAAGAAAAGAGCGGGTCTTACAAATATCCTTAGAGGAGTTTGGCCTGATGTGCTCCATAAAGAATCCCGAGGAGCGAAAACGAAGAATGAATTCAGAATTAGGGGTGGAATTCACAAGTTCTCGAAAACGAAAAAAGTTCAAGGGAGTTTTCTTTACCTCTTGCTTTTTATTTGTGTGTTATGGGGACATGCCACAATTTAAAGTGTGGGGTGGGGATGTAAATATGTAAATAACTGTTTGTTTTTGTTTGTTGTGTGTGTTTTCGTTTCTTTTGATTGAAAATTTTTAAGTCGAAGACAAAAAAAAATATTATTTTCTTTAGGTAGTATAATAATTCCCCCTTAATTTTTCTTTGTGTCGCGGTTCTTTTTTAAGAATTTTGTTTGAACCGGGTGTAGTTAGTATTTTTTTAGGATTAGGAGATCTTGTGGTATGATTTTAAATGAAAGCAATATCTCTTGACTTTATTATGCCTTGAGAATAGTAAGTGCTTTAGTTGTGACGCTTATGCTCAGTTTTTGACTCTTGTATAAGTACCTTAAATTGTATGATCTTTACTTTACTTAACTGCTTTGACTAGAGTGTCTTGATGAGTCCGATCCTGAGTGAGTTATGTGCCATGTGTGTGTGAGGTTTTGGGTATTCTGTGCATTGTATTTGATATCTAGAACTTGTCCCGTGTGTTTGCAAAATAAAATAGTAGTTTTATTCAGTCTTGGAAGTGATATAGGCATTGTTTTTGTTGAGCCAGTTATATGTTGTTACCCACCTAATTGTTATGTATCCTAGTTGACCTCTTTGAGCATGTAATCCTATTTTTTTGGCAACCACATTACAAGCCTTACCCGATTGTTTGAATTGACCATCTATTTGAACCTTCTTATCTCTCACGAGCACTTGAAACTGTTATGAAATTTGTAAAAGTTAAAGTGTAGGGTGTTGGTTTGGCTTTTGAGTGGAACTATTGAAATTAGGAGAAAGGTGCACTGTTTTGAAAGAAAAAAAAAGAGCCACTTGAATTGAAAAAGAAAATAAAAAAAATAGTTGGATGGTTGCGAAAAAAGATTCCTTGATAGTGTTAATTCTTGATGTAATTATGCGTAAAGAAGTAGGAAGTTGACATATATTAACGTGAAGGTGGAGTTATGGTTTGACATAAGTGTAGTTTTTGAATGGTTAAATTGTATGTATTAAAGTGTTTAGGGAGGTGTAGTCATGCTTATATCCAAATGTATCTTACCCATCCCACAGCTTACATTACAACCAAATAAAGTCATACTTGATCCTTGACTGAATGAGCTCAATTGGTAGAGTAGTACATTACGGGCAAGCTTATGGTACGTCTTTTGTGGCACATGAATGTTACTACTGAGAGTGAGTGAATCCTTTCTATCTTGAGTTTCTAATTATTCTTAAACTTTATTATGTGTGTAACTACTTTTTATTTTTATGCGAGTGCACTTGATTCATGAAGGAAAGGTAATGTCGTTGACCTCTGTGTTAGAGTAAGTGAGCGGGTTGTGAAAAACGTGTGGTGCTTTTGAGTCAAATCTTGAGGCGAGGATGTTACGATATTGTGCTTAATATGTTTTGATTATTCTTGGTATGATGAGTTAGGAGAGTTGTTTTAAAAGGTCGTGTCTATATGAGGTGTAGTTTGGTTGCTCGAGGACGAGCAATGGTTTAAGTGTGAGGTGTTGATGGTAGGCTATAATCTCGTGTTTTAGTCACTTATTGCACTCTAATTCAATGCACTTTACTTGTGTTGAGCTTTAATTACTAGTGTTTTGCACTTATTTTATGTTTTATGCTGTGTAGGAGTGATTTATGAGTTATGTAGATGTTGTGGAGCTAATTCGAGCTATTTGGAGCTTTGAAGTCTAAGTAGAAAACCAAGCAATTAAGTCGGGATCACGTTCGGGGGTTGAAAACCAAGTCTGGACATCAAAAAATGAGAAAACGAATTCACTCTGAGAAAATTGCACTACCGCCCCGCGTGCCTCATAGCGCTAGTGCAATTTTCCTGCAAAGTGAAAATAACTCAATTTCTGGCCAAATTTACACTGCCGCATGGGGAGGGGCGGCAGTGCAAAAAGTGGCTAGAAATAATTTTTTGGCACGTTCTGGAATTCCCTACATGCGCGCCGCTAAAAAGGGTAGTTTCCGCCAAAAATGTTAAAATGACTTCCCATTTCCGCTAAAAAGGGTAGTTTCGTTCGGGGTTTATTTTGGGAGCGGCGTAAATACACCAAAACACCATTTTAGATGGACTTTTGATAGAATTTCGACCTAAGGAGGCCAAGGAGGCTAAGGAAGAGTTGTAAGAATACAAGCACGAGGATTTCATCATTCCTTCCTCACTCAAGATCCGGGTTTGGATTGAATTTATATTTTTCTATACTTTAGTTACATTTGTGAAGAACTTCTCCATGTCTATGGAATAGATCCTTTTGGGTTTTGATGGATTTGGTGTATTGATAATTGTTTGTGGATTATAACTCTATTTTTATATATTTGAATCGTTTTTGAAAGATTTAATTATTGCATCTATATTCACTTGTTCTTGTAATCGAAAGAGGCATAACTTGTGATATCTTTGCTTTATATTGTTGATTGAGTTCATAGATTCTTCTATGTAATCGAACGAGGCTAGTTAAATCATTGATTAAACCTAGTTAGGAGAATAATCGAGACATGTTCTCCTAAAGACCAATCCATTATGCATTCTTGCATATCTTCACAGAGCTTAAATTTGTTCATATTGAGAGGTTGAGACTTAATCGAGAGAGGAGTTTCTACTAAATAATTGTACTGATAATGAAGTGAATTCGAGAGACTTACTTGAACATTAGAAGTAAATTATCTAGAGTTAAATCTCAGACAATTATCTTGCACCTATCCTATAAAACCCCCCATTTTCTCTCATTGATATCTTCCTTTGCTTAGTGTTGCTCCCAAACGCACACGCAAGTATACGTGATCGACAAGTAATATAGAATTGTAAGTCCAGATATCATACCCATAAGGACTTGTGATTAACTATCAACTAAATTAAATCAAATAATTAATCTATTCAAGCGAATCGTAAAGTATGAATATTTAACTAAAATTTAATCTAGAGTAACAAATTAAGAGATTAAAGAAAACAACGACAAGCTTAAAGATGAATTCAATGTGAGTGAATATTCTAGAGCTATGGATTAGCTAACAATCCCGTTGAGTTTTCCACTTAAATTGTCTAATTAATTTATCTGGTTTATTGGTTGACATATNTATATGCAATCTAGAATTCCCTCTCCCGAGTTCAATCCTAGATTCGTAGATAGTATTCAATTGGGGATCAATCAATTAAATAATTAAGTGCAAAATTGAATAAATAAACTAATATGATAAAATAGTAAGAACAATTTAAACTTCAAACTACAATGTTCATGTAGCACCCAACAACTCTAGAACTAATAAACTATGAGATTAAAAGAAGAGAAGAGAAGAAAAATTAGTTGAAAGTCTCCTCCAAGCGTGGTGTTCTTGCCTCCGGTCGCAAAACTCACTCCCCTAAAAATGATATTTAATGACTATTTATATGTGTAGGGAAAAGACCCAAACGAAATAACCAAGTCTAAGACCAAATAGAAGACACAATAGGCTTTAAAAACTGGAACACGCTTGTTGTAGATCGTGCCTCGCGACCTCTAACGCGAGCCTCACCTCGCTGTTCACCAGGCGACGCTCGCTCTAACGCTCGTTTTCCACTGTGTGAAGCGAGATGTTTCACGAGCAAAATTCCTTGCTACGCCTGTTCTGTTTCTGCTTCGTTTCAATTCCATCTGCTTTGCCTAACTTTTGCCAAATTCATGTTCTTGTCTTTCCTTTCCAACTCCTTTGCATTGTTTCTTTAATCGTTGCTCAATCTACTGCTTAGTTTCACTTTATCACTTCTTAGCTTTCTTCTTTGCTCACTATCATATTGTTGTAGAGCATGAATTAGATATTAAATATTTACTTTGCTCAAATTTCATCTCCAATGTACCTACACATAAAATAAACTTAATTAAACATAAATATAGTATAGTTTAGCATTAAAGCCCCAAAATGTAAGGTAAGTAATGCACTAAAAATATGGAATTATAGCCAAATATCAATACCCCACACTTAAACGTTGCTCGTCCTCGAGCAATCAAACCATACTTTATATAGACACGACATTTTTAAATAATTATCCTAACTCATCACACCAAGAATCTTTAAATATACTAAGCATAAGGGTGTAACATATTCACCTTAAAATTTGACTCACAAGTACCACACATTATTCACAACTCACTCACTTACTCTAACATAGAGGTCAATGACATTATCTTTCCTTCATGAATCAAGTACTCTCACACAACAAAAGAGAGTAGCTCCACACACAATAAAATTTAAGAACAATTTGAAACTCAAGATAGAAAGAATTCACTCACTCTCAGATAGTCTCTTATTT